GTGTGTGTGAGAGTGAGAGAGAGAGGGAGAGAAAGCGAGAGGGAGAGAAAGAGAACGAGAGAGAGAGAGAGAGAGAGAGTGAGAGAGAGAGAAAGGGAGTATGAGTGTTTAAGTGTTGATATGTACATGTGCGTGCGCGCGCGCGCGCGCGTGTGTGTGTGTGTGTGTGTGTGTGTGTGTGTGTGTGTGTCTGAGTGTGTATTTACCATGTCGTAGCACAATTCTCTTTTTGAAGAACAAAAATGTCATCTTTTCTATTTTACTTATTGCCCTGACCGCTACATCGTTGGTCACCGCTAATGTATTCCGCAGAATGTTAAGTCTCACATAGAACTAACATACCCCCCCTCCCCACCCCCTTAAAGAAACATACAAAATAAATAAAATAAAACCATCACATCCTCGCTCAACATAACAACAATAGGTTCCGCTTCAGCTCAAGCGAAAGTTAATGTACCCCGACGTAATATTATTACCTGTGTTTGGGAGAACTGCAGAACCGTTTCAACAGCTTAAAAATTGAATCTTTTTAATATCATATTTCAGGCTCACGGATGTATGAGACGAAAAATAATGGACTCCCTTTCCTTCATGGCGCGACCAGCAGGGAGGATTTTGCGATGACACATTGAGTGTCCCCAAGGCAAAGAGATCTACACTGAATCTACAGAGTGTGTGTTTGTGCGTGTGTTTGTGTGTGTGTGTCTCCCTCACACAGGTAAACTAAGGAAGGCAACAAGACTTCGTGGTTGCGTGACACTGGGCGCTAAACTGTTATTAAAAACACGGGGTTTTTTCCTTCAAAGAGGGACATGGCTAAACGCCCCCTACATAAACGACTTTTTGAAAAAGAGACAGAGAAAAACGCATCTTATTCTTTGGAGCGAGAAGCCTGCGTTGCCAAGCTTTGGCCATTGTCAATGTTGGAGCTTAGCTTAGTCAGAATTTCAAGCTTTGTGAGCTCAGCTGAGAATATGTGACAATGTTTATTATACAAATATATTCTTAAGATTGTCTGGCTACATTGTGAGATATGAAAGGTGGTAGAAAATTCAGGTTGACGGTAAAGGACAGCATTCATACTTATATATTAAATAGTTCCTTGTTTGGTTAGAATTCACGACTACTCGAAGGGCTGCTGTGTGCTGAGCGTTAGAAGAAAAGGAAGTACGAGATTATTCGAGCTTATGACTGAACTACACGTTCAGTGAAGCAACTTCTATTCATGCCTGAAAGAAACATGTGCAAGGTAATAATGTATTTTACAGCAGGGTAAGACTGACTGTGGTACTGTCGTATTCAGCTGACTCAAAAAGTACGGGCACTGTGAGTTCACAAGTCAAGACAAACGAAGAGCAAAAACTTCATCTTGTCATCAACTCATAACTTTACACCTCAAACTGAGAAGATAGCCAAATGAAGTGACCACTTAAAACAACGAATAAGGAAAGATATTTAATAATGCCCGCTGTGTCATGGTAGCCTTTAGCCTGTTCTTAAGAATTCAAAATTTCATTTGAAAAAGAAAATGTTTTCTAATTCATTAAATATGCATTGTGTTTTAAGCTTCCCCGATCGTTAACGCAACCAGACAAAAGCAGTACTGTGTTTTCTAAAATTGTTTGGTTCCAATTCGAGTGGATTAATCGTGACCCGGCGTCATCACAGATCAAAGGGATTACAAGGGAGAAAGAACTCTTTCTTTGAGGGCTATTAATTTCTGGATTGGCTGATCGGCCCCCGCATAGGGTCAGAGGTCATCACAGGTCATCATGGCGTCCAGCATCCGGGTGGTCATCCTGGGAGATCACAAGGTCGGGAAGTCAGGTAGGAAAACGCAAATTAAACTCTGATTGACTGTAAGTGGTTTAGGAGGGGGGGGGGTGGAGGAATTCCGTAACGAGCGACCACCATTAAATAGAAAGAGGGATAGGGTTAAGGCTAGTTTAGATGTTCGGGGCAGGGATAGAGATAGGGTTAGGGGTAGAAGTAGACGTAGGGATAGGGATAGGGGTAGAAGTAGACGTAGGGGTAGGGATAGGGATAGGGATAGGGGTAGGGATTGAGGGAGAGGTAGGGGTAGGGGAAGGAGTAGACGTGGGGGTAGGGGTAGGGGTAGAGGTAGGGGTAGGGGTTGCGGTTGGTCCCTTCTTTATTGTGTTTGTTGGTATGGTCGCTCATTACGGAAGTCCTTCCGTTTTTCATGTGTCCATCAACACAAGTTATGTGATTTGGGAGACGGACTGCTTCAATATGTCTTTCAAGACAAATCTACACTGTGGACTGTGCAGATAGACTGAGATGTTCTATTAACAAAAACATCCTCATTCGGGAATCGAATGCAAGTATTCTGCATGCAACGATGAAGAGTCTAACGATTATACCACTGAGTCTTGATATATTTTTAAAATACAAAATATGCGTATAACACACCACTAGATTAGGTGCTTCTTGTGTCAAAATTGTTTCGAAACTGGAAATCTGTAGCAACACTAGAGCATAAACAACAACGACAATAACAACGACAATGACAATAACAACGATAGTGACACAACAACGATGACAACAACAACAACAACAACAATAACAACAACAACGACAACAACAGCGACAACAAGAACAACGACGACGACGACAATAACAACTACAATAACAACGACAATAACAACTACAATAACAACTACAATAACAACTACAATAACAACTACAATAACAACTACAATAACAACTACAATAACAACGACAATAACAACTACAATAACAACGACAACAACACCAATGACAACAACAACGACAATGACAACAAAGATAAGAACGGAAACAACAGCAGCATCACCACGAACAACAAATGCATCAAACCAACAAGCTAGATCCATGACACTTTTATTTTGTCTCTCCTGTGCTGCCAAAGGGTACACAAATCCATTAGTGTATGACATAATATGGTCGCTTTTAAGCACAAGGGGGCTATCTCAAAAAATGCTGTTTTGAGAAAATCGAAGGTAAAGTCTTTGCCCCTTGTTCTGTTTCTTTAAAAGACAAGGATAATTTTCTCTATAACAAAACAAATATTCACACGAGTAAAACCGAACTTCTCATAATATAGGTATGACAATGCCCACTTTTGGGGTAGGTCAATTTCTGGAAACCCCCGAAATCTGGGTTAGCCCGCTTGTCCTTAAAAGCGATCATATTTAAGGGAAGATCGTACTATAGCTTGTTCGCTCTCGTCTGTCTGCGTGAAAAGAACAAACACTAGCTCATTTATTAATTTACATGTATGCCCAAGAAACTTTGCATCGCACTTCTGCATGCCAGCGCCAAAACAAAAGTATTTCTTTAAAAAAAAACATGATCCAATAATAAAGAAGTTATTCTGTTTGGGCCCTGTATCAAAACCGCTATTTGGATGCTTACACAGTATCAGTAAAATAAATAACTTACAGCTTAGTGCTAGTAGATCATCGTTGAGGATGAGTTTCATTGTAACATTTGAACAAAATGTTTCAGGACAAATTGAAGTTAATATCAAATTCATGTGTTGGCATCTTGAGGAAAGTATGGAGGTACAAAGGGAACAAACATATCCCAAAAGTGCTTGTCTGCGTTGTTAGACGTTTCATCAAACAATGGAATGCGGATAGCTTCCACTCGTGGTAAACTGCGTTTTGGCATGAGATACCCGACATTCCAATATCTGTCCGCTGCACCGACTTTGACGCTCCGTACACGCTCGCTCGCACGCACGCACGCACGCACGCACGCACGCA